AAAACGACGTTGATTCTACGCACTTACGAAAATATAAAAGAAAAAGAAAAAACAATAATGACAATAAAAAAATGAAACGCACTCGTTCTCGGTTGATGCATACAAAGAATGGTAGTACGTCGTAATATAGAAAAGGACATTCGCGTTTTTGTGTATTATTTTTTTTTATTCGTGCGCGCCCCCCCGAATGCGAGTCCACGCATGGAAAATAAAGACGCGCGCGCGCTCGTACGAGCCAGATTTCTCGTTTTTCTGTTTTTTTTTTTTTTTTTTTTTTACCGACGAGAGGATACAAAGTGCGCACATTTGTCATATTAAAGCTTTTTGGCAAGAAACCTTTTTCCGCGTATACGGCTGGCGAGCTGTCCGTATGATGTATACGGCGTGGATGGATGTGTAGGTATACACGTGCGAGGCGGCGCGTCGACGCACACACGTCAAAGGGCTGAGGGCGCACGATGTTCGAGATAAAATCTCGCTCGTTGTTTAGCGCGCGGTGACAGGCAGAAAAAGAATTTATTTTAAGAGATCGATAAACAGCTGTTTGAGAATAGTACTTGAAGTGACACTTCGAGAGTGCTACAAGAAAAAAATTAATTCAAGCGAACAAACGAAATTTAATTTAAAAATAATTAAAATTGATTAAATGTTAAAAAGAATTCATCCATAAAGGAAAATGAACGGCGAATTTCATTACTAGTGAGAATTTAAATGTTCAATCTTACCTAATTTTGCACGAAGAATGGATAAGAAGAAAAAAGTCGAAGATTCGTCGCAAATTGATGCGCAATTTAATACATTTTACTCTTAATGATATATGTTCATAGAAAAATCATAAAAGTTTTTTCTTTTTTTTTAAATCTATTTATTTAAATAGTATAGAAAATCTACTACGTTTAGAAACACATTACACAAAACTGTTCATCATTTTCATGAGCTCTGGCTCGTGGCCGCCAAACAAATATGGAATAAATCCTCGTTCAACAGCTTCTCGTTGATCATTGCACAGCAGAGAATCGGTAGCCGTTGTTGTATCAGCTCCAGGAAAGACTCCAGTGCCCATCGCAGGAAAAATCGTCTAGACATTAACTCACACAGATGCGCAAGACAGGCTTCGAGAGACTCTCTGCGGAGGACCCAACCTGTTCGGTCGCACGCGTAATTGAAGTAGTCCTTGTATGTGACTTGTTTCGCCGCCTCTTTCGGTCGCAACGGGATCAGGTCGTAGAGCGATAGAGTTGAAGTAAACATTGCCTCTTTCGCTGCTCTCGCGAATTTCTCGTCAGCATACCAACTTCTTTCACAATCGGCCCACTTCTCAAACAATCCATGCTTGGCGAATAATTTCATGATCGTAAGGGCGTCGCTTCGGTTCAGTTCGAATCCTCTTTTTTCAAGTCGTTCAGCGACGATGAAAGCGTTCGAAGCTACTCTCAATTTAAAATCAACGTCACATTCCGGAGGCCACTCTTCGACTTTCTCGGCGAAGTAATCAACGGTAGGAAAAACGAAGCCGGACAGATCAGCGCCGTTATCCAAGAGTGCATCGACGGTATCGGGCAAAAGATACGCTACGGCTAATTGCAACGGAGTCCGATCCTTGTTGTCCTTCACGTTGACCTGCACCGTCTGATGTTCGTCGTTGTTGATCTGTAAAAATAGCCGCGTCGAGTAATCATCGTCTTGGCTGCTACAGATAACGTGCAGGGGCGTCGATCTCTCCCCGTTAGCCCAGTTCAGATCGGCGCCTCTACTCAGCAACAATTCGATCACCCTCTTGTTGCCATTCTCCATAGCCAAGTGTAGCGGTGAATCACTCGTTTTCTGCACGAGGAGATTGGGATCCTGGCCGAGCTCGAGGAATATCTCGACGACGCGTTCGCAGCCATACCTGCAGGCCACGTGGAAATGCGTGCAGCCGAACTCGTCGATGTATTTCACGTCGAGCCTGTCGTAAATGTCGAATAGATCACCGATGGGTCCCACCGTATAGATCGCGTGCCTATTCGCACGATGTAGTGGTGTGGTACGACGCAGCGTTGGCTTGCCGGCTTCGTCGACGACGTCAGGCTTGTCCTTGTAGCCAGTGAGGGCCACGAATCTGATAAATGATTGTCCTTCGTTATCGTACGGATTAGTACCCATGTATTCTATGGAATACGAGAGGAGCCAGTCAATTTCTTCGTCGAGAAAAATGTCTCGAAGATCGGGTAGTTCGCCCTCCCAATTTCTGGTCAACGAGTCGAGTTGATGAAGAAATTTACGTCGCTCTTCTTCGATCTCCCAATTGACCTGTTCGCGCATACTTTTCAAGATGGACGTGGACGCCATTTTGAACTCTCAAACACAAACACAGTCGGTTGTTATATGAAATCTTTTGAAATGTTTTTCACTTTTTTCACGAGAATCCAGACACTAACTACAGTCGATGCGATCTTCCTTTGTTGTTTACGCAGCAGCGTCGTAACGTGTACTGACGGTTGACAATTCGAGCGAGCAACTTGCACGAACACGCGCAGCGAGAGCGAGGCGTATGACAAGAGTAAATAGAGAGATGGAACTACACGTCGTTCAAGCATTGACGTTATAAAATGCTCGAGCGCTGCTGCAGTCAAATCTTGCGTGCGACTGCGGCCGCAGCAAAAACCAAGAGAACAGACTCTATAGGCTCAGCACATGCAAGATCTCGGCCAATCGCAGCGTCTCGATGTGCAGCGGGCTTGCGAAGAGTCAAAGACGATACTGCAGAAACTGAGGTTGTCAGTGCCGGACAACGTATAGAGTCTTGTTCAGTTTAGTGCATAACGTTCGTCGCTTGGTATTTAGTAGACAAAGAAAAACCACACCGACTGCAGCAAGTGATTCATAAGTTTTCATAAGTTACAAGTAGTGAACTGTGGTTCTACGCGATTTGGCAACAAAATGTCCACTACACCCAACAGCGGATTCGAAAACGACGAAAGTGCAGACTATGTGATCGACGGAGACTGTTGGAGTGAACTGAAAAGCATGCGACAAAGGGTCGATTGGGAAGTGGAAAATGTGCGACACCCATTTTACCATCGTGTTTTACTCTTGATTGATAAGTGGAAGGGACCACTTCCAAATCTTAGAGCCATCTTCGAGCCAGAAGATATTGATAGGCTTCTGGTGGAGGAAGTGAAGAACATGGAACAATCTCTAAGCAGACCTCCACTCGTCCAATTTGTGATCAGAACCGGCTACAGAGACCATCCCGACGTTGACCAAGACGGCAAACCGCTGTTGTGTCGCACCACAGCAATTCATCGTGCGGCCATGCAGTCGAAATTTGAATGTATCGATAATCTATTCATAATGTACAACAAACTCGATGTAAACTACGTCGACGAGTTTGGATTTAGCCATTTTCATGCCGCTTGCATGTCCAGGAACTACCTCATCGTCCGGAAATTCCTCGAACTCGGTCAGCATCCGGATTGCGTCGTTCAAGAATCGATCGTTAGTCTCGCTCGTCCAACTTTGTTCTTGGCTCTGGGTGATGACAAAAATAATTATAAGTCATCTTGGAGAGGGAATGTGGTTCGTTTGTTGCTGAGTAGTGGCGCAATCCGAATTTGGCAGACGCGAACGGAATGACACCTTTGCACGTTATTTACAAGAGATTAGACGACTGGGAGAACTTGGCCAGGTTATTCTTCGAGATAAACGACGAAAGGCATCAGTTGGTGCAGGTCAACGTGAAGGACAATTTGGGCCGGACACCGCTACAATGGGCCGTGGCCAATGTCTGCCCAGATTTAGTCGAGACTTTGTTGGATCGTGGTGCCGATTTGTCCTGCTTCGATTTTCCAAACGAGACTTACTTTGTTCAAGATTTGAAGAGATTAATAAAATGTTGATGAGACAAGTACATGTCGACGAAAAACAAATAGTTTCTGACATGCTGACAATCCTCGAAAGTCTAAAAAAAAAGGGTACGAACTCAATAGAAATGAAGCTTTCACGGTAATGAAATTTTTCGCTTATATCGAAAAGCCCTACTGCTTCAAAGAGGATGTGACGGCGGATGATGACAGTGATTGTGATGCAATAGAACTAGTGTGCGCAATATGTCACTCTTATGAGACAACGCAATTGTGTCTTCGCCACGAATTAGCAATAATATCGAGAGGATTTTTTCGATACTGGGCGACGGAATTTTTTATGACACTGACATGCTACCGATTGCCAATTCTCTGCTGCGAAATGATCATCGAACGTCTGGAAAACGAGCATATGTTCATGATGTGCATAGCCAGCCAAGATCATTTAAACGATAGAAAGAAGTTGCAAAGATAAATGCATTGTGTCGTACCTAAGGTATTTTTATATTTATTTCATCCTTTCTTACGATACCACTTCCTGACTCTCATTATATAACCTTTTAATAATTTATTTTTCAGTCGACAACGTAAAAGAATTTCAAAGTTTACACCTGAATGAATGATGTTAAAATAATTTTATTGGGGTTATTCTAATCTCGTATTTGATCAAGAACATATCACTTAAAAATAAAGTAATTAGAATCAATTATGCGCTTGGGTAAACATCATTGAAGCAGTCAATTGAATTCAGATTATTATTTTGAATGCATAAATTCCAGCTTACTACAAGATGTTAGATGGTTGTTGAAAATGCAAAAAAGTATCGATAGGGATTAGACAAACGCACCATTGAAAAAGATTGTTGAAATGAAAATGAAAAAAGAAAAAAGTTTCAGATAACCAGTAATGCAATTTTCTGCTTCAAGATTGTGAGTCTTTATATATTTTTATTTACCCATTGCCCAAACTATGCCATAAAAAATCGATGGATTCGTCTGCACCTATCTGTTTTCAATTTGTTCATTAATTATTGATGAATAATATGTAACGAAATTTTTCAGTTTTACTTTATTCTGTATCTTCATTCATCCTTTAAAATTTAACTTCATTAAAGCATGTCCAACGCTTGTATAGATTGTAAAAAGATTGACTCACCAGACAATGTGAAGAAGAAACAAAAATCCGCCGGGCACAACGAGATCGTCGCTGCCGACGCTCCATCGGCGACGAAAAACGACGAGGCCAGGCATCGTCGTCGTCGTCGTGCTCTATGTTGCATAAAAATCCCTGCCGAGATTTACAGAGGGATCACCTCGTGCGCATTCGCGTGCGAGCGCATCACGTTGGACGAGGATGATGATTTAAAGCGACCCGCTGCGTTCGCCACGGCTGCGGCCGCTCGTTTATTATTACTCGGGCACTGTTGCTGCTGCTGATGCTGGTACTGAGGCCGCAACGATGGCGACGAGGATGATACTCGAGGAGCGTCTTCATTTTCGATATTGACCCAAGAGCCGAGCTTTCCACGAGCTCGAGATTTATCGTGACTACGTGGATGATGTAACATCGCTGCGATCGAGGGTATTACTTTTGCATTTTTTTTTTATCTCTCTTACTCTCGCTCCGTGTAATCTGAAAAAAAAACAAAGAAGAGAGATTTTTAAAAACGTTTGCAAAATACTTGAAATTCATAGCAAGCTCGACGTAATGCGTTGCCCATATTACAGAGAGTAAAGAGGAAAAAAAAGGAGCTCGTTGGAACAATTCGAAAGACTCGTACACGCGCATTAAGATCCCTCTCTCGTTTCATTCTAAAAGGTAGAATCGAAGCACGAATTTTTTTTTAAATATTTTTTTACGTTTTAAAGCTTTACGCTGCGAAAAAGCTTGGGAAAACAATGCAAGCTCGTACATCGTACACATATATGTCCTTGGCATCACTTTGTCTCCCATTCGCGAGTGTGTACGTACACATCATCTCGTATGTATGCGTGTGCCATACCTACATGTGTGCGAAATATTCGTGCCGAGAGTATCAACTCTTTTTTGCTCTGTCTGCCCACGGTGCCGCGTTTCAAATGTCTGTCTCATTGATAGAGCCATATATCTCGCCCTATTCCTCGCTCTCTTTCGGCGCATTGTCTCATCGCTGGGTCTCTCGTATACACACAACGTGTATGCCACCTATACACACCCACTACACCTGCGCGAATTCGATTTTCGAGTTTTTCATTTCCCATATAGATACAAATCCGCCGCACGTATAAAAATTTTTCCATTATCCGTGCGCCGGCTTATTTCAAGGGCTCTTTCCCTTTTACTTTTCTTCTTTATCCCATGCAGCTTTTCATCTCTCTCTCTCTCTCTCTCTCTCTCTCTCTCTCTCTCTCTCTCTCTCTCTCTCTCTTTCTTTCACTCTCGCCGTGGTGGCAGCGATGGAGGTACTTGGCACGTTTACTATTTACCCGAAAATCTGCCCGGGTTATCAAGCTTTTTGCCCGTGGCGGCTGCGTATACGTATGTGTACCTTATACATCTGTATATATATGATACTAGTAACTTTCAGGCGCGCTTCGCGCGCGTACATTTTTCAGTCAGTTTCGAAAAAGTTGCTATTTTGACCGTAGATGTCACTTTATTACGTTTCGACTCGAGTCAAAAGTCAGTCGACCAATCAGAGGCCGAATAGATTGGCTTCACTTTTAGGGTCATCATTATTTTAAGAGAGGATATAATATATATATTAGTCCACGGGACAGCGCCGATTTCGTGAAGTGATTAATACATGTCTGTAACTTCGGGAATGGCTTCGTTTCGTTGAGTCCGACACGAACCTCTTGTACGGAGTTTTGGTTCCGCTGCATTTTCAATGGCGCATGTGCGAAACATGCCAGATACAAACAATTCTCTTTCTTGATAAATATATAGTTATATTTAATAATTTTGGCCTTTCCATTTCAAACTATGTATGAAAAATAACTTGTCCGACGAAAGGGCTACCGCAATGAGATGGTCCGACGCGTCGAAACCCTTTGCCCTCAAGCATTATTGTTTTTTGATAAATACATACTTTTTTTTTCAATCATTTGATTGATAATCACCAATATTATCAAGTGCTCATAGTGTCCGACAAATTCTCTGCTGCATTTTTTCAGTCCGATTGATGAAATATGACTATAATGCGAGATGATGTTTTCTCATTAATACATGTCAGACTACAAAAGGACTT